TTCTCCACAGCAGAGGACCTGACCCCAAACCTCCCCTCACTCTGACCAGCGACCCCTTAGGGCAGCTGCCTGCTCGGGGGTTCATCCCGCGCCAGAACTGGCAGCCCCCGCAGGAGCAGGAGTGGGTTTTCTGCATGAACACTGGCAGTCGATGGGTCCAGATTTCCCAGGGTTTGAGGGGAAGTTGACACTGTGCCAGAGGAGACCCCACCTCTCGGGGGCCCTTGGAGGGCTGCTGGAGAGAGAATGATATGGAGACTGAGGGGTCAAAGGCAGACAGCCCTCCTCAACCCGGCGAAGACGCCCAGCGCGCATGTGCCCAGTGCGCATGTGCCGGGGTCCAGGATGGTTTCTATTTTCTTTTTATATTTTCTGAATTTTTCATATTTTTTTCAGCACATTTGTATCACTTTTATCATCAGAAAAGCCCACGGACAGGGGTATGTAAACAGATATGTGTGTAAACAGTTGTAAACGGGTGCAAAGATGTTTACAGTGGAAAGATTAGAGATTCCCAGGAATGTTGGCTCTGATCACCTCCGAGTAGTGAAACCAGATGATTTTTTTCTATTTTTATGATCTTTCTATGATGAGCATGTATCTTTTTTGTAGGAGGAAAAATGTAAATTTTCCAGGACATCACTGCTGCGCTCTCATGAGGTGAAGGGTGCCTCTGGGCCCGTCTGGGGCTAGGACGACCCTGCACCTCCTTCCACTTTGGGCCTTGTGGTCCGGGCCTGCCTTGGAGACAACAGGCTGTGTCCGAGCATGGGCTGCCCCACTGTCACACCCACAGCCTCAGTGTGGACCGTCACACATTGGGGACCTGCTGACTGGAGCACATGGTGTCCTGCAAACTGAGACATAAAAACAACCTTGCCAGTTCTTCCCATCTTACAGACACTGTGATAGCTGCTGCCTGCTGCGTAACAAATCACTCCTGCACTCCCAGGCCCGGCACGGCCCAGGCCCCCCGTCTCAGGCTCCCGAGTGTCGGGAATCCGCGCCTGGCAGCTGGGCCCTGTTCTCAGTGCTCAGGGTTTTACTTATTCCCAGTTCTTCTTCTAAACCTGCGAGAACATTAGAGCTGCCACTGTCTGCAGACAAACCCACTCCTGCTTGAGAAGCCAGTGAGCAGGTGACATCTGTCCGTGAGGCTCTGAACCCCCTTTGTCTGGACTGCAAGCCTGTGAGCTGACACACAGCACCGAACCCCGGAGCCCGGAGAGAAATGCCCACGGCACGGTCCAGATGAAATCAGGGGCGGGCAAAACCACCCAGACAGCTAGTTTACAAAAATCCCATGAAGCGGATGTGGGAAATGGTGGAGGAAACCCTAGAGCAATCATTGAGAAGTATGATTTCTGAACGTGTTCTTGAAAGTTTCTTTATTATGGTCATACAACTTATAAAACATTTAGGCTGATATTGGACAAGTGTCAACAGCTCCAGCTCTGGGAAAGGTCTTCTGGAACCTTCTCTGGGGCAGGGGTGGGTCGGCCACCTCTGGAGCCCACCCCCGCGGGGCCCCGGGTGCTCCCCTCTTTCACTGTTCACATCTTTAAAACATACGCCACAAACAGACGCGTGTAGGTGTTGTTGCTGATTTTGTTTTCCCACAGTGAAAAGTGAAATATCTTTTCCAGATATGTATTTGACTGAACTGTGAGGAAATATTTACATGAAAAATAATTCGGAAATCCGAGCAAGCAATGGAATTGATACATTTCGACAAACAGCCATGACACAAGCGGTCAGTGTAGGGCTTGGGTGGACACAGCTCATGAATCCCACATGAAGATGTCCGGGTTGGGAACAACCCGGTGTGCCGAGGACATCCGTTTGGGGCCGCACATTCTTTCTTAAACTCGACTGCAGTTTTGTTCTACTTAACACGAGAGCCACAGTGCTCTGTGAGCGAAAACGTCCCCACAAACTGGGGAAAAGAGACCCGTTAGCCAAGCAGCGTCCAGGGCTCCAAGCTGCTCCCTGGCCAGTGACTCAGCCCCGAGCAGGAGGGACCCCCGCCCTGCTCCCGGCCCTCCTCCCGGCCCCCGCCCACCTCCTCCCCCGCCTGCTCCGCCCTCGTCCCTCCCGCTTAACTCCAGGCCCGCAGAAGAGCAGAGACAACTCTCTGTCCGTCATCGGTCGTCGCCGGCCCACCCGACCCCTGCCCTTGCTCGATGGTGACACGCAGGCTGGTGACATGAGGCTGGCCCGTGCTTTGCTCCTCCTGCTGCTGCAGGTCTGCTGGGCCACCGCGCAGGACGAGCTGGCGGCCGTGAGGGCCGTCGCTTTCCAAGGTGAGTGGACTCCCGCATCTCGGACTCTGTGCTGTTGGCTGCCGCGCGACGGGGCCGGGGCCGGGGCCATACGCGTCCAGCCGTGATGCCTGAGTGGGACCTCGGCCCCTTCCCTTGACGTGGGGTTGGGGGCCTTGGGGGTGCTCAGAATTCGCCGACTCTGTTCCCAGTCCCCGGGGGCTCCCCCAGGCTCGGGTGATCTCACCCTTCTCGTCCCCGAGGGGAAGTCAGGCTGGGCGAGGCCGCAGGGACCCTGGCGAGGTGGAGCACGGACGTGACCCTGGGCTCAGCTTTCAGAGCTGGAGCGGCTGTCCCGACGGGCGGAGACCACTCTTTCTCCACCTCAGTTAACTCTCTCTGGTTTCGGTCCTGGCAGTCGGTCATTACCTGGCCTTGGGCACCTTTTCCTGAAGGTCCTGCCCCTGTAGTTTGAATTCAACTTGAAGGGCAGTGGGAACAGTCTTAGTCTCCAGACCAGGGCGGGGCCCTGCCCTTCCAGACCAGTGGGTGGTGGAACTGAGCCAGCAGGACTCAGGCCGCATGGGGGGCTCTCGGTCACCCGCCCGTCCTGGGGCTGGCAAGTTTTCTTGACAAGAGACAGTCGGCGCAGTGGGGGTGGCTGGGCCCTGGCTCACCCGCCCAGGAGGTGGCCAGTGGGGCCGATGGGAGGCTCACCTGGGGGAAGGTGGGCAGAGGTGGCCTCGGTGTGCCCGCAAGGGTGCAGGACATGAGCCGCAGGCCCTCCCTCCCCCCGTCCTTGGCCCAGACTGCCCCGTGGACCTGTTCTTTGTGCTGGACACCTCCGAGAGCGTGGCCTTGAGGCTGAAGCCCTATGGGGCCCTGGTAGACAAGGTCAAGTCCTTCACCAAGCGCTTCATCGACAACCTGAGGGACAGGTAGGATGGGCGCCCTGGACCTTGTCTGCTGCGTTTCTCGGAGTCTGTCGAGGGGGGCCGGGGGCCCAGGGGGCGGGCCAGCCGGGTGTCGCCCCTGCTGCGGCCTCAGCTTCCCCACCTGAGAAGGGCGGGTGCTGGCCTGGCCACTCAGGTCGTCTCCTGTGTCTGCGGGGTTCAGATGGGCCAGAGAAGGGCTGAGTCTGAGGTAGAGCAGACTGGGGGGCTCTGGTCAGCGGGAGGGCAGAGGGAACAGTGCTGCAACGTGGGGCTCCGGTTCCCCAAATGCAGCCGAGGGAACGTGCCTGTGGCCCAAATGGAGTGGGTTTTGGGGGTCGGCCCAAGGCCATGCAGCTCCCCCTGGCGCCCGGAGGGGGCGCCCCTCGTCAACCACTAGGACACTGACCACTGCCCACGTGATGGTCAGTGCCTACATCCTGGACCCAATGTCCCAATGTCCCCGATGTCCCAACATCCTCATCAGAGGGGCCTGGAGGGACGGCCGGGCTTGCTCCTGGGATTCACTTCATTCATTCCTTCACTCACTCATTCGTCTGTCTGATGAATCCACAGCATGGGGGGGAAGGGGAGCCTTGGGCAGTGGGTGTGGCCCAGGACAGGACTCACCCATGGCGGGGGGGGGGGGGGGGCAGGGCTGTTGGGGGATGGCCACCCGTCACCTGTGCAGGGCCCCACCCCTAGTCCCGCCCTGTCCCTGCTGACCCGCTGACCTGCTGACTGGCTGAGCCAGGTCCTGAGCCTCCTGCCTACCAGTAAGGGCCGCGGGGATGGAGGGTGGGGACTGCCCAATGTGGGGCACTATGGGACCTGAAACCTCAAACTCATCCAAAATGACTGGGTCCATGACGCTGTGTGGGGAGGCCCAGGTGTGCCTCGCACCTCCGGAGTGGGCGCTGGGGAGTCATGTGGCCCAGTGTCCCCCTCCAGGTGCCTTTGGCCCCATCACCCAGCTCCCTGTGCCTCAGTCTCTCCACCTGTGAAATGGGTGGGCTTGTCCTGTGACTGCTGCTGTTAGCATCACCTCAGAGGCCTTGGTCCCCCCAGCGCTAGAGGGGCTGCAGGCACTGCCCCCCCCAGGCCCTGGAAGAGCAAGCCTCTGAGAGCCCCAGGCCAGTGCATGGGGCAGAGAGGGGTGGCCAGTCAGATACATGGGGACCTTCCACCAGGGTGCCCCTTAGAACTGGCCTCCCTTCCGCCCCATCACCCAGCCCCACTGCCGTCCACGCAGGGTCTGCCCCCGTGGCCTCCACCCTGCTGTCCTGGAGCAGGGTCTCAGTGCACACTGCTCTCACCCAAGGTCCCTGGAGATCAGGGGACGTGCTGCTCACTCGCTGGCTGAAGCCCGGCCCTCCTGGTCCCCCGCCCCACACCCTACCCCTGGCCCACCCGCGGCCCCAGGGCAGGGACCCAGCGTCTTAGGGCCACTCGGGAAGTCCAGCCGGCGGCTCTCCAGCTCCCCCTTCTCGGGCGCGATGGTGCTGGGCAGTGTGTCCACTGTGAAATGGTGGCCATCGTGCCCTCTGGTGGACTGTGCTCGGGGGACAGGAGGGGCCACCCCGGGGGAGGCCAGCCATGAACACGGGCTGGGGGCCTGGGAGGGCCGCTGCTCACCCGCCGCGTGGCTCACAGGTACTACCGGTGTGACCGCAACCTGGTGTGGAACGCGGGCGCGCTGCACTACAGCGACGAGGTGGAGATCATCCGTGGGCTCACACGCATGCCCAGCGACCGTGACGCCCTCAAGGCCAGCATAGACGGGGTCAAGTACTTCGGCAAGGGCACCTACACGGACTGCGCCATCAAGAAGGGGCTGGAGGAGCTGCTCGTCGGGTGAGCGCCCCAGGCCGACCACGCACGGCTCCCTCGCAGCCTGGGCTTCGCCTCGGGCTCCACGCGTGGCTCCTGCCTGTGGGGAGGCCACAGGCCCCACATCCCTGGGAGGGAGCTCCACCTTCTGACCATCTGCTGGTCGACCAAACCCGCCAGGCCCGGGGGCTGACCACTGGCAAACCAAGCTCTGGTGCCCGAGATCCCGGGGACCAGTCCCAGTGGCCGAGGGGGTCATGCTGGTGACCACCGCCCTGCCTGCCCCATGGCCGCCAAGGGTCCCTCTCTGTCCCTCCCTCGAGCTGTCCACTGTCTCCTCAACCAGTGAAAGCAGAGGAAGTGGGGGGGGCCCTGAAATGCCCAGTCACTGCCTCCCCTTTGGCCAAGCAGAGATGACGTCACAGTCAGAGACAGAGAGACAGACAGGGATGGAGAGACAGAGAGAGAGACACAGAGGGAAAGGGTTTCCTGTGGGGGCGTCGATGCCCCCATTGCTGTCTTCGCACGTCAAGTCGAATCTTCCCGCAGTGAGCCAGCAGCAGCCTGGTTAATCCAGACAGAGAATTAGTTCCTGGCTGTAGCCGCAGCCCCGGGGCCCCGCCCACAGGGGTGGGCAGGTCTGCAGCTGGCCCCTCCACCTGCCTGTGCCCGGGTCCCGCGGGTGGGACTCCCCAGGCTGGGTGAGGACCCTGCCTCCCCTGGTATATGTGAGTTTTCCAAAATAGTGTTTTAGAGAAATGTGATCCCACAAAACTCTCTGTTTTCATATCCTTTTTGATAAGCCCACTTTATTGCCTGGATTAACAAAGAGAAACAGATTGTCCAGAGTAACAGGAGATGTGCTTGGAGAGCCGTGCTGGGGCTGGGTCTCTCCGGGGTTTCCCCGCTATCCATCGAGCCCGTGGTCTCGGGGGTCTCGGCTCTGCGGCCCAAGGGCCCTGAGCCGTCAGGGTCAGAGGCGGCCTCAGGAGCTAGGAGGGGCGGGTCTCACCGCCACCCACCGCCCTGCAGGGGCTCCCACCTGAAGGAGAACAAGTACCTGATCGTGGTGACCGATGGGCACCCCCTGGAGGGCTACAAAGAGCCATGCGGGGGCCTGGAGGATGCTGTGAATGAGGCCAAGCACCTGGGCATCAAAGTCTTCTCCGTGGCCATCACGCCCGACCACCTGGTAGGGTCCCCACGGGGCTGTGGCTGGGGAGGGGGCCCAGGGCCCAGCTGGGGGGCACAGAGACACAGGCAGCACCGCAGGACAGGGCCTGGGGAGGGGCAGAGATGGGGGCCTGGGGCTCCCTGCCGGAGTGGACGTCATCCCCGTTCCGGTCCATCCACCCCAGGAGCCGCGTCTGAGCATCATCGCCACGGACCACACGTACCGGCGCAACTTCACGGCAGCCGACTGGGGGCAGAGCCGTGACGCGGAGGAGGTCATCAGCCAGACCATCGACACCATCACGGACATGATCGTGAGTGGCCCGTCCAGCCTTGGCCTCCGGGGTCCGCGTGCTGGGAAATCCTGTGGCCGTGAATAAAAATTAATTCAACTTTTCCGTTTCACTTTTAGAAAAACAATGTGGAGCAAGTGGTAAGACCTCCATCCCCACCCCAGGGCTTCCTGCCGGGCCCTGCAGTGTCTGCACCTGCACGTCCAGGCCAGGAGTCTGAGCGCAGGGCGGGGCGGGCGGTCGGGGCGTCCGCAGGGCCCTCGTTTCTGACGTGTTCCTCTGTCCCTCCTCCCGCAGTGCTGCTCCTTCGAGTGCCAGGTGAGTGTGAGCCCCCTGCCCGCCCCCGGGGCCGCCCCCTACGGCCTCTGGGCTCACTGTTCCCTTGTGTCTTGCAGCCCGCCAGAGGACCTCCCGGGCCACGGGGCGACCCCGGGTACGAGGTGAGTGCCGCCTCCCGCCTCACTGCGGGAGGGACAGAGGTATGGAGTAGACTGTGGGAGGAACGTTCCTGCAGCCTGGCCCCCGAGTGTTAGGGACATGACGGGGCTGTCCTGAGCACCTGCCGCGCCTGCTCTGGGCTGGGCGTGGGGACTGCAAAGTGGCCCCTCGCTGAGCAGGCGCCCCCAGCCGCGGGGAGAGTCCAGGCATGGTGACCCCGCGTCGGTGACCCCTCGGCCGATGCGGTGTGGGGCTTGGTGTCCAACCGCGTCCGGCCTCCTCCCCGAGGTGGAGGAGTGAGAGCCCCTGTGGCTCAAACTGGGGCCCAAGGCCAGATGTGGCTCACACAAGGAGGTTTTGAAAATCAAATAGTTGCCAATATTTACAGCTTGGGAGATTGCTCACGAAAGTCCACATTTCTGGCCTCTCCTAAAAAATATCAGGTCCAGTGGCCGTGGAACCATGTGGCCACCGACCGCAGGAGCTAATCCGTGGCCCCCTCCCCTGGGGGGCCTTCTGTGCTGATCCACCCTGTCCACCCGCCTGGGAGCCCAGAACAGCACAGGAACAGGGCTCAGCGTGGACAGAAAGGAAGGATTCAGGGGTTAGTGGGGCAGGCGCGGGGCAGGCGCAGGGCAGCCCCACTGCCGGGTGGGTTGTGAGGGAGGGGACCCATGGATGAGCAGACGTGACCTCGCAGACCCCACGATGGGCCACGGACGACGGGGAAGGTGCCTGAAAACCACATGAACGGTGAAGGCAGGATGGAATGTCTTTTTAAAGCTTTTTTTGTGAGCAAGTAGGGGGTCTGTTGCACCAGCTTTATCTGGTAATAAACCTTGATCGCTCTGTGTTCCAGGGAGAGAGAGGGAAGCCGGGGCTCCCTGGAGAGAAAGGAGAAGCTGGAGAACCCGTGAGTGTTGGGTGCCTGACCACAGGGGCGGGGGCACTAAGCCTGAGGCTGGGAAGTCGGCTGAGGAAGTTTCCAGAAGGATGTCTGGTCTCTGAGAGCCTTGGTCTTACTGCCTGACCCTCAGAGGACATGGCCCTGTGGGTGGTGAGGGCCAGGGCCGCGTGGCACAGCCATTCCTTCTAGCTCATCCAACCAGGCGGACCCCTCGCCCTTTGGGCCTCCGCACGGGCTGGCCTGCTCTCAGTGGGGCCACAGGTGGGGGGCTCGGCCAGCAAAGTCCCAGGGCCTCTGCTTCAGCCACGGCCAGTCTCCCCACAAACCCCCCTCCTCCTGGGGGCCCTTGACCTCCCCCTTCCCTGGGGCTTCTCTGAGGGGCCCCCAGGAGTTGGGGGGCCTTCAGAGCAGGGAGGCCAGGGTCCAGCCTAGGCCAGTGGTCAGCCAGCCCCGTCTCTCTGGCTGACCAGGCCTGAGTGGGGTGGGGGGTGAGGCGGGCTGTGTGGGGGCTGCCCCTGCCTGGGGTGTCTGACACGCCCCCTCCTCTGTTTCAGGGAAGGCCCGGGGACCTCGGACCCGTCGGCTACCAGGGGATGAAGGTACATCTGCCCTCCTCTTCCAGGGCGGCCTTTCCTGGGGCTGATCGGAAACCCGTCACAGCTGTCCTGGGGCGTCGGGCGCTGGACACTGTAACAGCTCCCCTTTCCTCCTCTGTTTGCTGTGTAGGGAGAAAAAGGGAGCCGAGGGGACAAAGTGAGTAAGGATCAGCCTCAGGACATGTCCCTCGGGGCGTGGAGCCACCCCCTCACCTGCGCAAGGACGACGCTGCCCGTCCCCCCCCCAGGCTGGGCCACGATGCGCTGGTGGGGGGACCCCTCCTTGCCATACCCCGGTCCTCCTCCACCTCCCTGGGATTTCCGGGGAGCCCATCCCACGACGGGGACCACCCCCCTCACCCTCCCTTCCTGTCTCTGCAGGGCTCCAGGGGACCCAAGGGCTACAAGGTGAGTGTGGCAGGCGGGTCTGTGTTCTGCCCCCTGGGGGGAGGGGTGCTGTCTGATCTTTGTCTGACCCTTCTCTTGTTTGCACCTGGCAGGGCGAGAAAGGCAAGCGTGGCATCGACGGTGTGGACGGCATGAAGGTAACACCCTCCCTGTGGTCGAGAGGGCTGGCGGCTGGGGCACATGGTTCAGGGAAGGGACGGTGGGCAAAGCCAGGTACCACCCTGGAGCCGGGCAGGTAGGGGTCTCCTGTGTGGACCCTCCCGGGAGACTCAGAGGTGGTGTAAAAGGCAGGAGACATGTCCTGCCAAACTCGAGGTCCCAGTGGACCTCCAGCTGCCTGGCCCAGCTTAGTGCATCCTCCAGGGTGGGGCTTGTCTGGGAGGGGGATGGATGAGCCGGAGCCAAAAGCCTTGACCTTCCTCTGCCTTCCTCCTTCCAGGGGGAGACGGGGTACCCCGGCCTGCCAGGCTGCAAGGGCTCGCCCGGATTTGACGTAAGTTGCTTTTCCTCACACGTGAGTTAAGACTGAAAGTTCACTGGAGTGAACACTGGCTCACACCCTTCTTCTGACGCTCTGAGCAGGCACTGCGGGCTGGACCCAGTGCAGACCTGCCTTTTTGGGTTTTGACATGTTTATGTGCAGCCTGATGGCTCTCATGTAAGCTCCTGGGCTGACCTCTGCCGTCTTCTCGCCAGGGCATTCAAGGACCCCCTGGGCCCAAGGGCGACGCAGGCGCATTTGGACTGAAAGGAGAAAAGGTTAGTGACATGAGCCCCCCGGAGCTGGGCCAGGGCTTCCTTGTCCACTGAGCATCGAATCACAAATCCCTCTGGAAGCAGATTCTCCCCTCGCCCTGAGAGCCAGGCCTCCGCCTGGGCAGGCGGGGACCAGGGTGGGAACAGCGGAAAACACAGGTTTGGGTGGAACATCCACAGCCACTGGCAGGCGCGTCTGCCTAGGGGAGTGCTGAGCCTCAGACACTTCCCGCCCGTACCGCGCCTGCCGGTCCAGCACGGGGAGACCGCCCTCGGCGTCTCTGAGGCAGCGTCCCCACAGCCCAGCTCCCATCCTGTCCCAGAATCCATCTGCTCACGTGGAAATCAAAACTTAGAATGAACAGTGATGCTGTTGGCCTTGCAAGCTGACAGAGAAGGAACATGAGGAGACGATGTTTTGGGTCTAATTTAAAGCAGAATTTTCTGTTGCTGGTATTTTTCTGGGGTTTTCAGCAACAGGAAGTGCTAGGAAAGATGGAGTGGTAACTTGACTCTGCCCCAAATGCGTCTTAACAAGTCGGATTTCCTGGAACGGATTTTCGGAATCTCGCCTTCCAGAACTGGGCTTGCCTCTGCCATGAGCGGTGTCTCAGCAACAAGGGGAGGCGATTGGAGGATTCGAGGATTCGTGGAGAGGTGTGGGTGGTTGGGGAGGGTCCTCGGTGTCCAAGGCTCATGTGGTTGGTCAGGGAGAGCGGCCTGAAATCTGTGTGAGGAGGGCTGATGTGGGGTCACTGGGCCGGGCATGGCCTCCCGTGACCCTTCTGATCTTTTCAGGGTGAACCTGGAGCTGACGGGGAGCCTGGGAGGCCAGGGAACACGGGGCCACCCGGAGATGAGGTGAGCATGCGTGCAGCCCCCCAACGCAGCCGGGGAGGGGCCACCAGGTGCAGCCCCGGGTCCTGCTCAGGTCAGAGGTGGACCATTCTATCTTGCTCCCCCCAGGGCCAGCCGGGAGAGCCTGGTCCCCCGGGAGAGAAAGGCGAGGCTGGTGACGAGGTGAGTACCCACGGCTGGTCTCCTGCCCCCATTCCGGAGACCGAAGCAGAGTTCCCTCCAAATTAACACTTGTGTTTGTTCCTCTTGATCCCAGGGAAACTCAGGACCAGATGGTCCCCCTGGAGAAAGAGTGAGTCGGGGGCTGGCGCTCTGGGCTCTGGGCGCCACCACCTAGTGGGGGACGTGGCGGTGTGGCCGGCGCTGGTTGTCTCGGGCTGACACATCCAGAGCTTCCGTCTGAGTCTCTCCCACACCTCCCTCTGCTTCTGTCCACACAGGGCGGCCCTGGGGAAAGGGGACCACGGGGGACGCCGGGCGTGCGGGGCCCGAGAGGAGACCCGGTGAGTTACTGTTCCTAAAGCTGGGACCCCGTCCCCTGAGGGCCCCCCCAGACCTCTGAGTTGCACTCCTGCCCGGGTCCTGGGCCAAGGCCTCTCCCCCTCCCTCATCACCACCGCCTAAAATCGTCACCGAGACAGTCAGTCTGCCCCTGAGCCCGTGAGGTTTCGTCCCCGTGTAAAGGCGTGTTCTGCAGGATCGCGGTTGCAGTATCTGCAACAGCCCATCCGGCAGTGTGTTCATTCTCTGTCCACGTCTTTCACCGAGCTGCACGCCTGTCATTTCTTCAGCTGCATGCGTGACACAATTTACTTAGCCAGGCCCTCCCCGTCGCACATCTGGCTCTTCTAAATGCTTCGATTCCCCCCACCAACTCCGTAAACATTTCTGCAGACGGAGCTAGCATTCTTCTTTGGAAGAACTTTCCTTTGTTAAAACTTCAAGAGGGAATGTTGGGAAGCGGCGGAGAGGCCGTGGTGGCCCCGTGGCTGCTGCTCCTTCGTCTCGATGGCCCAGCAGCCCAGCCTCACTGTCCTGGGGCCAAGCTGGCCCCGTGGGTCACTGGGAAGGTTTTGCTGGACCCGGGGCAGGTGGAGGGGACAGGCCCTGCCCCTCTGGGAGTCAGGAGGAAAGACGCCATCTCCCAACCCCAGATGGGGGCCGGCCCTCTACCCACTGCAGACACAGGTGAAGCCGCCTCTCGTCCTCAGAACAGGACACTGCAGAGGCCGTGCGGTCCCTCTCGCTGTGACCACTCGGGCAGAACGCACCTCCTCTGGACACCTGTCCAGGGTGTCCCAATGGGGAGAGTGAGCTTAGCCCTAAGCCAAGGTGACAGGGAGAGAGATCTGGCTTTCTGACCCCACCCATTCCCTGGGGGTCCCCAGAGCCCCACGGCCCCCATGCAGGGGTTGGAGGGACGTCCAAGCAGGGATAACATGGCTTCAAGGCCCTTCCAAGCCCCCCCACGCCAAGGTCAGGAGATGAGACTGAAGGCCAGGCCGGGCCTCCTAGATGGCAGGCCGCCTGCAGCTCTGGCCCCGAGGCCGGGTGGGCGGGAGGTTCCTGAGCCTCGCTGGACAGGAGGCAAAGTAGGGAGCTGCCGCCGGACCTTAGGAGGAGTGGCTGGCTCCTCACTGTGGCCTCCAGAAACCACACGAGTCGCTTGAGGGCCGACCACGCGGCCACAATGTGGTAAAAACGTGGAGAAGTGGGAGCAGGAAGCACAAGGCCTGGACCCACCGTGGGTAGAGGCTGCTCCCAGCTCTGGGACCCCCCAGGCCTCCCGCAATGGCCACTCGCCCGGGGCAGCTGCTCTCCCCCGGCATCCACACTCACCGCTGGTTCCTCCCCAGGGTGAAGCTGGACCCCAAGGTGACCAGGGGCGAGAAGGCCCTGTCGGCGTCCCCGGAGACCCGGTAGGAAGCCCGGCTGTCTGTGGGGTTGGGGGGCATCCACGTGTGAGCCAGGTCTGCCATGTGGATCTTGGAGCGGAAATGCTCCCAGCAGCTCATGAATTTAGGGGGACATCTCTCTCCACCTCTGACTCGGGGTGCTCCCTGCAGGGGGTAAACCCGGGAGACCGCACGGGTGGCAGGGTTGGGGGCTGGGGCCATCCAGGGTGGCTGGATGCAGACTAGTGAGGGCAGGCCCAGCGCCTGGGGCTCTCAGACGCCCAGCACTCACAGAGGGACCCCTTTGTCATCCAGGGAGCACCCACCAGGGCACGGAGCTGAGTGGGCAGGAGCCTGTGCTGCCCCAGGGCTCTGTCCCCAGGGGGGTGGGGAGGGTAACCTGGCTGGGCTGGCGCTGGAGGAGGGCAGTGGGGAATGGAGGCAGCGAGCCATCGAGGTGGAGGTGCGTGTGGGGTGGGGTCACGGAGGACTGAGCCCGCGACATCAGACACCCCAAAGTGGGGGCGGGGCATTTGAGTCCCCAGGAGACAGCAGGCAAGGGAGAGGGTGGCTCAGCATGTGGACCCCAAGTGTGAGATCTGGGTTGGAGGTAGATTTGCTAGTGTCAAACCTGGCTGGCAGGTTTGTTGAAGTGGCCACATTCTGTGGTGTCATGGAGCCCTTGGGGGCCAGCTGCCTTGTGGCAGAGGTCTGGGGCCCCCCTGGAGCCCGGGGCCAACCCCAGGGGGAGTGCTGGAAGGCGAGCCTGGTCCTGCCCTCAGGGGCCCACAGTCCGATGGGAAGACATGATGCACAAATAAACACCAGGCATGAACTGAACCCTGTGTGTGGTGAGGATGTGGGGCTGACGAGGCCACAGGCGGGGACTCCCACCGGTGGGTCCAGCGAGGGCCCAGCCCCACCTGGCTGCCTCCCGTGGAGCTGGTGGGGACCGCTCTTCTCTGAAAACCCAGGGTCCCCACAGGGTGGGGCTGCCCCAGGGTCCATGTGCCCCTGGAGGCCCTGCGTTTCAGGGTGCTGCCCTGCCTGGGGGCCACCTTCACATCAGGCCTGGGCATCTTCAGTCACTGGGCTCGTGGCCTTAGATGGAGGCTTCGTCCTCCCCTTGTTCTGAAGGGTCTGTTTCCTGCCCCTTGTCGCTGGGAGACGGTTGTTGTTCAGGCCTCCAGCCAGGGTTCTTGTGCCCTGAAGCCTCTGCAAAGAGGGGCTCACCGGGCCTTGGGGACCTGGGGTGACTGTGCAGCTCTGAGGGCTCTGAGGGAAGCCCCCGCCTGGGCACCGTGGCCCTGGGGGTTTGTCACCCCGGCTGTGCCGAGATGGGGGAGCAAGGATGCCGGCCAGCCTTGGGCCCCTGGTTCCAGAGTGCAGCGTCACGTCACCAGGGCTGGGGGCTTCATCTCTGTCTCCTTCCTGCAAGGACCCCATGAGCGATACCATGCACGGGGGCGGAGTGGGGGACGTCTGCAGCGTCCAGCGGCCCCTCTGTGACCCTGCCTCCTCCTCCTCCTCCCCGCACCTCCCTCTCCGGGGACCACCTCCCTCTCAGATGGCCGGATCCTCTCACCTCGGCCTGGACCCCGGCCTGTGTGCCCAGTGCTCCTACGATGGGGGTTTCCCGGGTGGGGCCACTCGCTGGGTGTCCCCATTTCCCTCCTACTGGGGATGAGGTAAGGTCCTCCTGCTGGACTGTGCAGGGCGGGGTCCGGGCAGACCACAAGGAGTGACCTCTGAACTGGGCCTGGGGACTCCCCAGTGGGCAGGAGGAGGGGACAACACCGCGTAGGGGTCGGAGAGCTCCAAGTAGCGGGCTGGGAGATGGTGCCGGGTCCAGGCGGCCAGGCCGCGGGCTCTGGTGGGGCTTGGCTCGTGGCTTCCAGTTCTTTGGTGGCTTTTTTTGTGGAGAGAAATTTGAAATTGGAGTTTTAGCAAAAAAGGAATTTAAAAAAATAAGAGAAAAGAAGCATCCACAGTAGGGCAGAGATGTTTTGCCAGCTCTCCTGATGGAGCATTAAAAATGCACCTCGGGCCCATTCCAGGGTGGGGTGGAAAGGGGCGGGCGTGGACCCGTTTATGCAATAACATGGACCATCTGGGGATGGCAGGGCCCAGCTCAGTGGAACACTTTTCTCTCACGTAATCCCAGTTGAACTGGCCGGGAGCCCTCTGTCTGGGGAGCACGGTGTCTCCAGGGGCGGGGGGGCCCGTGGGAGCCGAGGAGGCCCCTGGTGGGCCTGGAGCTGCCGCCGCGCCACGGGCTCCTGACTTTCTCTGGCACTCCTCCCTCTTGGCAGTAAGGGAGGATGACGCCTCTCAAATAAGATAAGACTTAGAAGTTCTTTGGGCTCAAAGACTCCTGTAAATGGAGTTGTCCCACCTCATTTTGTTTCAGGAGAGAAAAGGTTAAAATTAGTAACTCTGACAGGAGGAGGGCACTCATGGAAAAGCAGGATTCTCCCCTCCCCTCCCCCACCCAGGTAGCAATGTTTAGTTTCTTCTAAAATTTAGTTTCTTCTAGAATCCTTCTAGAAAAGCATGGCGTGTGTGAGAGTGGGGCGTATGCGTGCAGTTTACGCAAACATCATCCAACTGTGATGTCTGATTCATCCTGGAGATTGTCCGGGTCAGCGCTCACAGAGCCGGCACTCCTTCGCACTTCCATGATTCCTACTGTGTGAGCTTACTCGACGTGCCCATCTGTCCCCCTCAACGTGTGTATAGATTGTCTCTGGTATTTTGCTTCACAGAAAAATACTGTAATAAATACCAACGTCCATCTGCCTCTCTGTTAGCTCATCTGTCTGTCTCCCCATCTATCTCTATCCATCCATCCACCTATCCTCCCATCATTCATCTATGTATCATCTATCTATCATCTATCTATCTAACTATCATCAATCTATTTATCTTTCTCTATCATCTAACCATCCACCCACCCACCCACTTATCCACCCATCCAGCTGTCATCCATCTATCATCCATACATCCATCATCTATCTATCATCTATCTATCTAACTATCATCAATCTATTTATCTTTCTCTATCATCTAACCATCCACCCACCCACCCACTTATCCACCCATCCAGCTGTCATCCATCTATCATCCATACATCCATCATCTATCTATCATCTATTTATCTATGTATCTATGTATCTATCTATCATCTATCATCTGTCATCCATCTATCCATTATCTATTATCTATCTATCCATCCACCCAGCCAGTCACTCATCTACCCATCCATCCATCCATCATCTAACTATTTCTATCATTTATCTATCATCTGTCTCTACCCTTTTTCTGTCATCTCTCTCTCCATCCATCCACCCGTCCATCTCTATCGTCTATCTATCTATCATCCATCCATCCACCCGTCATCTATGTATGTGTATGTGTATCCATCCATCCATCCACTCATCCATCCACCCACCCATCCATCTTGAAATACTTCCAAGGCTATATCCAGAATATACATTCTTAGCAGCAGAATTTCTTGGCCAATTGGGGTGTGTGTGTGTGTTGATATTTGCCAAATAATTCTACCTGTCTGTCTACACAGGCCCAATGTACATTCCTCCCTGAGAGTGTAAAATAGACAGTACCCACACCTTTGCCAACATGAGATGTTATCAAACTTCAAACGTATGTTTTTGCTCCGCCCTGGTGAAAACCGTGTCCTCTCTTGGTTTGCTCGACTATTGGTGGGAAAGGCCGAGCGTGGTCTCATGGTTTCCAGGCCGTCGTGCGCTCTTTCTGTCTATTCCACGGTTGTTCATTTTCCTGGGGAGCCCGTGTTTCCCGTGTTGATGGGCATGAGGCCCCTGTCCTGGGTGCAGCCATCTCTCCGCTTGTCATCTGCGTGCTGACTTTGTCTGTGGGATTTGGTTGGTAGGAGGTCCCGCTCCTTTACAAGTTTCCAAGTGCATTCCCCCGGTTTACTGCAGTTTTTGCTTATTTCTTTGATGCATTTGGAGTAAAGTTGTAGGGTTGGAAGTGAGGTGGGCTTGACCTGGCTTGACTTTTTCTGTGAATAGTGAGCCCCTTGTCACAACACAATTGGTGGCAGAAGCGGTCTTTCCCGGGGATTAAAATGCGCTTTCATCATATTTTGAACCCCCTTATCTGCACGTCTCCTTCTGGAGCAGCTGCTGATGCCCTCTCTCCTCCCAGTCCTGCCCCAGTTCCAATGACAGTAATCATGGTGGCCTCGTGGTGGGTGCACATCAGGCCGGCCTATCCTGCTGCCCGTGACGTTTCCCGGCCCTCCGGCCTTTCTCGGACGGGAGGGCAGGAACCCAAGGCGGCTGACTGCTCTCCCTCGGTGGCCATGCCGCCAGGACAAGCCCGGGTGACTGGTCCTTCCCCTGCGGGTCACTGGAGAAGTCGTTCACGACACTGACAGCATAAAACACTAGGAGCAGGAGCCGTCACCGGGGTTCCCTCTGAGCAGCCCGACAGCACCTGCTTGTTTGTGTCTCCAGTTCTCAGAGCAATTGACAGTCGCTGTGAAAAGGCGACTGCCCCAGTGTGAGGGAGAGGGAGGCCCCCCGGGCAGTGGGACCCCAGTGTTGCTGGGGGCACCCTGCAGGAAGCTGCCCTGAGCGTCACTGCAGAGGAGGCTCTGGCCCTCCCGCCTGTGACCCAGCTCTTGCTGCCCGGCCCAGGGGCGCTTGTTCACCTGGGGGGCCGGGGGGGCAGTCAGGCAGCTTTGGACCCAGGTTTGTCCACACTGGACATTCAGCTTCCCAGCCTCAGTGCCACTTCTGCCCCCAGGGCTCTCACGTCCTGCTGAGCCTGTCACAGCCCCCACGACTCCAGGCCCCGCAGGCCGTCGGCTCCGACGCCAGAGTGTCCATGGGGAAGTTTCTGGGAAATGCATTTTTCCAAATCCCAAGAAAAAGCGACTGAGCAATCCAGAAATGGAGGAAAGGGTTCCCGTTCTCCTTTGGTTGAACCTCGGCGCTCTGCAGGCCTACCCCCACTGCTCCTCCCCGCCCCATAGAGGGCACCACCCCTCCCTCCCCGTGTGGACGCCAGTGCTGCCCACCAGGAGTGGGGGCCTCGGGCTGGGTTCCAGGTGACCCCACCCAGTGAGCCCCCCCACCCCCTGCTGAGGCAGCTCTGCAGAAACTCTGCCAGAGGCTGGTCAGTTCTCTGCGGGTCGTGGTTTTCCTGTTTCTCGGGGTGAGTGGGGGGGACCAAGGGGCACTGTCAGACATGGCCTCTGGCCTCCTGCTGGCCTGGCTTGGGGCACTGAGGGCCTCACTCTTTCATCTTCCTTCCTGTCCCCCCTTTCTGTGTCCCCAAGGTAGGGTCTCAGGGCCCCAGTCTGTGAACCCCAAGTCCACTGTGTGCAGCCCCGGGTTAAGTGTGCAACACTGGCGCTGCCTGAGGCCCGTGAGAACACAGCCGCAGCTGGGCTCTCGCAGGGTCTTGGCAGGGGCAGCAGTATGGTAGCAGCCTCCTGGCTGACAGCTGGTGGATGAAATGCGCCGGATAATGGAGAGTTGTCCACATTTGTGAGACGGGGCCAGCCAAGAAAGGCCTCATGAGGAAGCGCCAACCTAATGACAGGGCCCAGGGGACAGGCCTCTGAGTCCAGGGTGGTGGCTGGTGGGATGTGGAGGGGCCGGCTCCGTGAGACGCAAGCTCGCCCTCCTCCCTGGGCCTGGCTGGGTTGTCCGTGAAGTGCAGGATGGAGACCCTGGACCCAGAGAGGCAGGAACTCCACCCCACGGAGAGTAGTGGATGGAGCAGCCAGCAGGGCGGGGTCTGGGGCCAGGAGGGCTGGTGTGGGGCAGAGAGAGGGTCCAACGGTGTGTCTTCTCTGCAGGGCGAGGCTGGCCCCGTTGGACCTAAAGGATACCGAGGCGACGAGGGGCCCCCAGGTCTCGAGGTGAGTAGCCCTCCCTGCCCCCGGCCCCAGAAGCAGCCAGCCCCGACCAGACCCCATCGCCTCCACCCTTGGTGGGCCCTTCGGACTGGGCAGAGCTCCCGCCCCATTTACACGTATAAATGTTTCATTTTGTTTTATGGTATATGTGTCTTTTGGAATATTTGGAAAATGCAGAAAAAAATAAAAAAGAGAATTGAAATCTAAAATACTACCACCAGAGATAAACAATATGAATAATAATATGCCTCACAAATTTGGCTTCATGAGGTTTTCTTTAATTTTTTCATTATGAGCATTTTCCTAAAATCTTAATGATTTTTCAAAACATTATTGACGTGTGCTCCCCCGGCCGCACCTGTGGTCACATCCGCTCGCTTCTCTGAGCTCTCGTTCTCAGGCAGTTTGAGTTCCCAACCCCATAGGTAATGTCGCCAACCCCATGGGTCCTGGTTTCGTTTCTGTTCCCGTCCTGGGGCCCCTCCCTGGGTGGGGTTTGGGCGGGAGATGTGGACCCGCAGGCCCCTCGGGGTCCTGGTTAGCTCCATGTGCACCAGCCCCAGGATTGTCTGTTTGGAAATCCTTCTTTTAATCATTGCTGTGCTGATGAGTGAGAACACGGTCTTTTGTTTAATTCACGCTTTCATTTCCCTCCAAGAGGCATCGTGCCTCCAAGCCAGCGTTGCTCGTTGCCTGGATGTTCTTCCCAAACCCACTTGTCTCCTCCTTAGGGCCCCAAAGGAGCCCCAGGGCCTCCAGGACCCCCCGGAGACCCCGGGCTGGTGGGCGCAAGGGTGAGTGACCGTCCTGAGGGCACAGGGCCTGGGTGGGGCTGCCGGAAGGCCTGGGCTCTAACTGAGGGTCCTGGTCACAGTGGCTGGACAGTGACCGTGATCAGTGTCCGTGGTTGCTGTGGGCACTGAGCACGGGGGCGCCTCTCCTGCCCCGCCCACTCTGAGGTCCAGGAGAGGTGGGCGTGGGACCGGCAGGCAGCCCCTGGCAGGGAGCTGCCTCCCAGGCTGATGAGGGCCCCTTGGGGCTCCGCGCCTGTGCCTGCGCTGTCCAGCGGTGTCCGGGCCTGGCGGTTCCTGATGACAGGACCCGGTCTGCTCTCCCCAGGGAGAAGATGGCCCCCCTGGAAACGGCACCGAGGGCTTCCCCGGCTTCCCCGTGAGTGCCCCCACTCCCGCCCCAGCACCCGCTCTGGCCATCCGGGCACACGTGGGCCGGCCGGGCTGGACCCAGGACCAGGGCTGGCCCGGGGATCCACGGCAGGGATCCCCCGGCAGAGCCTGGCCTGACTGTCCTGCCTTCCCTGCAGGGCTATCCAGGCAGCAGGGGTCCTCCCGGGATAAACGTGAGTACACGCGCCGTTGGGCTACTGGTGTGCGCACACACACGCACACGTGTGCAGAGACACGCACACACACATCCAAGGACATGCACAAACACACACACCCAGCCCAGGCTTGTCGCCGTGGCCCCTCCCCTTCGTGTCTTGGCCTGTGGGTGCCTCGCACGGCCCAGGGGTGCCTGGTGACCCACATACTCCTCTGGGCAAACAGGGGCAGGGCCAGCTCCCAGCGACCACACCCCAGGCTCCCCTAAATCTCAGGGTGTCCTCCGGCCCGCTCGCAGCCTCAGTTTCTCCCCCAGGAGATATGTGCCAGGATGGGGGGCAGACAGCGTCTCCTTTATCTTTATCTTTTCCTTTGAAAACTTCTGCTTCTTAAAATGGGAAGGAAATGCAGGTAAATGGTACCTTAGTAAAGCTGATTTAAGAGACAAAATTTGTGAAGAAAAGGAACAGCCAGGAAGCCTCTCCTGGGTGAAGCCACCCTGCTGCTTCATGCAGCCCAAGGAGCTCGGCCAAAACGCAGAGACGTGGGCTCTGACTGCCGCCCCCCAGAGGCCTGCCTTCCCCAGGAGCCCAGGGCCCCAGCACCCACCGGCCATGCACACGCGCCTGCCTGTGGACTATGCACCGCACTAACCGTGTGCTCCCCCGTGTCACCCGCAGGGCACCAAAGGCTACCCCGGCCTCAAAGGGGATGAAGGAGAAGCCGGGGACCCTGGAGAGGACGTGAGTGCAGAGCCCACCAGCATGTGGCGAAATCCTGAGTCAGCCCTGGCCCTGAGGGTCTGCGGCTGCGGAGGGCCGTGGAGGGAGGTGGCCGTGTGCCATGGGGGCCACTGAGGCGCGGTGGGAGAGCACTGAAGGACAAGGAGACAGCCGACAGACGCGCAGCGGGTGGTCTGGCCACACGTGGTCATCTGGTAACACCACACTGTTTCCTTCCAGAACAACGACGTTTCCCCCCGCGGTGTCAAAGGAGCGAAAGGGTATCGGGGACCCGAAGGCCCCCCGGTGAGTCGGCGTGGCCAGCTAGGGTGGGGGCACCCGGATTCTGAGGCTGCAGAGGGTCGGGGGCAGGAAGGGTCCTGGAGCGGGGTTGGGGGTGGGCAGGAATTTGGGGAGCGAGTCTCTGGGAAGGTCTTGGGAAGGTTGGGGCTTTGACAGGTGGAATGGGAGGGAACACACAGTTTCGAGGGGTGTGTAGGGGGTCAAGAGGGGGCAGAGAAGGAGGGGCCAGTCAGCTGGTGAGAGGTGATGGGGGCGCAACACTGTTAGACTGGAGGGGACACTGTACCCAGGCGGCGAGTGTGGGTGCCCCGGCCAGCCCACCCACTGGCTGCCAGGAAAGGGCGAGTGTTGGACAGCTGTCAGAGTGGGCGGACCCTTCCGCCAACCCTTCACGTGCGGAGGCCTCGACTGCCCTGGCATTCACGGCTCCTAGGGTTGGGGGGTCAGCCCAAGGGCTCCCGTCAGACCCACAGCCCAGGAAGCTAGCAGGGCTACGTGGCCGGCCTCAGCCTTTCTCTCATCCTTTCTCTGACAGGGACCCCCAGGGCACACGGGACCACCGGGGCCGGACGTAAGTTGGGTGTCTATAACGTCCTTGGGGGTTGACCACTCTGGCCAAAGAGTTCATGTGGGGTGAAGAGCCGTGAGGGCAACAGGGGGACATGTGATGGCCATGGGGACATGTGATGGCCACGGGGGGCACATGAGGGCCACGGGGGACATGTGATGGCCTTGGGGGGCACGTGATGGTCACGGGGGGTATGTGATGGCTACAGGGGGGCACATGATGGCCATGGGGGGCACGTGATGGCCATGGTGGGTATGTGACAGCTACAGGGGGCACGTGATGGCCACGGGGTGTATGTGATGGCTACGGGGGGCACGTGATGGCCATGGGGGTATGTGATGGCTACGGGGGGCACGTGATGGCCATGGGGGGTATGTGATGGCTACAGGGGGGCACGTGATGGCCATGGGGGGCACGTGATGGCCACATGTCATGACCACATCAGGTGCCCGGGCCCCAGAGGCAAAGCAGGTGGCACCCTGGGAAGGAGGAACCCCCTGCCCAAACCCAGCCCCACCATGGTCCCAGGGGAGGGTGGCCACAGGCCGGGCTCACCCCCAGAGCTGGGGCAGCGCTGGCTTGGAGAGGAGCCGGTCCAGCAGTGTCTCTTCCCCTCCCCAGGAATGCGAGATTCTGGACATCATCATGAAAATGTGCTGTGAGTATCTCCCATCCTGGAGTCAGACAGGGCAACGTCCCGCTGGCCCCAGCTCCACCATCTATTCAACTGGCTGGGAGGAGGCGAGCAGGAGGGGCGGACATGGGCCCACCCACAAGGGAGTCCCGGGGGGTGGGGGCCCGGCAAGGTGGTCCAGGCGCTAGACAGAATGGCCCACTTGGTCAGGACGTCCATGAGGGGTGAGGGATGGCTAAGGGTGTGCGTCCTTCTGATTTCTGATGTGATGTGGGGTCTCGACTGTGTGTAATGTCCTCTTTCTCCTCTTTCCCCAGCTTGCTGTGGTGAGTGTCACTTCTCACTTGTTACAATGTTTCTCGTGTGTCTTTAGCCTTTGAGTGAATGACCCCCGGGCGGTGGGCCTGCCGCCTCTCAGTGCACATTGTGGAGCAATAGCTGGCACTCGCACCGTCACCTGTGCTGTCATGGCCCCGGGGTGCCAGCCCCCGTCCCCCATAACAGGCCCCCACCAGCTCCCTAGTAACTCACATGACCAGCAACAGGTGGGGAGGAGCCACAGGACCTGCCCAGTCCGTCCTCCCCACGGCCTGGGGTCCCAGCTGAGCCCACCATCCTGAGGGGCTGCTCTGCTCTCAGTGGGGGTCCTGGGAGGCCCTGAGGGCTGACCTTCCCCACCCCTCCCCCTCCAGAGTGCAAGTGCGGCCCCATCGACATCCTCTTCGTGCTGGACAGCTCCGAGAGCATCGGCTTGCAGAACTTCGAGATTGCCAAGGACTTCATCATCAAGGTCATTGACCGGCTGAGCAGGGACGAGCTGGTCAAGGTGAGGCGGCCCCCCGGCCACCGTCATCTGGGAGTGGTGGTTCCCAGGGAGGCAGGGGTCTGTCCTGACAGTGGGCTGGAGAGGGGCCGGGTCCCCGGGGCCATCGCAGACAGGGCACTTTGTTTCTCCAAAGCCAGAAACCCCAACCCACCAGAGCATGAGAGTCACTTTCAGGGCCTGTGGGCCGGTCCGGCCTGGGACAGATGGTGGATGGAAGGGCTGGCCGAGGAGCGGGCACGGGTGGCCACTGGGACCCCTGGGGGCTCCTGACCTCAGCATCTCCCCCACGCAGTTTGAGCCCGGGCAGTCGCACGCGGGCGTGGTACAGTACAGCCACAACCAGATGCAGGAGCACGTGGTCCTGAGTGACCCCAACATCAGGAACGCTCAGGAGCTCAAAGAGTGAGTGGACTGCGTGCACGCCTGCAGCCGTGTCGTCTCCAAGACCCCACCCCACCCCACCCCCTGACCCCACCCTGTGCAACTCGGCCCTGGCCCTGATCCCAGACATGACCCCTGACCTTGGGTGAGGCCAACCCTGACCCCTGATCCCACAATAGGCCTGATTCTGCCCCGTCCCTGGCCCTGACCCTGACCCTGACCCTGGTGCCATCCCTGACCGTGGCCCCGGCCCGGGCGCTGACCATGCTGTGGCCCCGCAGAGCCATCAAGAAGCTGCAGTGGATGGCGGGGGGCACATTCACGGGCGAGGCCCTGCAGTACACGCGTAGCCGGCTGCTGCCGCCCACCCAGAACACCCGGATCGCCCTGGTCATCACAGACGGCCGCTCAGACACCCAGAGGGACACCACCCCGCTCACCGTGCTCTGCGGCCCTGACATCCAGGTGGGGCCAGCCACACCGCACACTGTCCCCTTCGCACCCTGGGATGTAGGGGGACCTCCTCTGCGGGGGTCCGCGCCGACGCCTGTCCCTCCCCCACAGGTGGTCTCCGTGGGCATCAAGGACGTGTTTGGCTCCGTCGCGGGCTCCGACCAGCTCAACGTCATTTCCTGCCAAGGCCTAGCGCCCCAGGGCCGGCCGGGCATCTCGCTCGTCAAGGAGAACTACGCAGAGCTGCTGGAGGACGCCTTCCTGAAGAACATCACCACGCAGATCTGCATAGGTGGGCACGGGCAGGGGCAGCTGGTGCCGAGCGCCCCACGCAGCTGTGCCAGGAGGCGGCCTCGAAGTGGCTGACACACCCTCCACTCTCAGCTCCCTGTGACCTCCCGGCCACAGGGGCCAGACACGTCTGCCTCCCCACAAGCTGCCTCACACTCCCCTCTAGGATGCCGTGGCCCGGCTCCCACGTGGCCCAGGGTCCATGCAGGTGCTCCCTGGAGTGTGGGCTGCGCTGTGTCTCTCGTTCTCTGTCCTAGAGCCTGTGAGCACACGTGCCGCCATGTTCTGAGCATGTGCACTCACGCGCACGTGCGGTGGTGTCCTTGGAGCCCAGGACCACGCAGAGGCGCCCACCTCAGAACATGTCCATCAGGCTCAGCCCAGCAGTCAGAGCCGAGTCCACAGTGCAGGCAGCTCTGTGCTCAGGTCGACAGCGAGAGAGGGCTGCTGGCTCAGACTCCAGGCCCCCTCCCCACCCAGTGGGCGCATGGTCGTGTCACCCAGGGACAGCGTGGCACAGGGTGTCTGTAGACCACCCTTCCTCCTCTCTGAGCCTCGGTTTCCCCCTTCTCAGAAGGGGCCAAGGCTCTGCTCCACCCCTCGCTGGGTTGGTGTGAGGACCACAAAATGGTTCCTGAGGGACCAACCCATCACCTCAAGGGCCCAGTCTTAAATAAGGGGACACCCTTTCCTGGTGGGCAGAGTGGGCTGGGTAGGGGCTGGCCAGGCAGTAAGCCCTGTCCCCTGTCCCCTGTGCACACAACCACACGGCACCTTCCACGGAGATGCTCTGGTGTCCTCTCACTGGGGAGTCTGGATGGAACGGGGGTCCCTGCGGTCCCTGGGTTCACGCTGCATGGGGTTTTTCTCTTTTACAGACAAGAAGTGTCCAGACTACACCTGCCCGAGTGAGTGCCTGGGGGTGTGGGGCCCCGGGGAGGAGGGGGCTCCTGGGGGAGGGGCCCTGGGGAGGAGGGGGCTCCTGGGGGAGGGGCCCTGGGGAGGAGGGGGCTCCTGGGGGAGGGGCCCTGGGGAGGAGGGGGCTTCGGAGGGTCTGGAGGTGACAGGAGCCCAGCGCTGACGGCCACCCCGCCCGCAGTCACGTTCTCCTCCCCGGCCGACATCACCATCCTGCTGGACGGCTCGGCTAGCGTGGGCAGCCACAACTTCGACATCACCAAGCGCTTCGCCAAGCGGCTGGCAGAGCGCTTCCTGACGGCGGGCCGCGCGGACCCGGCGCAGCCCGTGCGCGTCTCGGTGGCGCAGTACAGCGGCACCGGGCAGCAGCGGCCGGAGCGCGCGGCGCTGCAGTTCCTGCAGAACTACACGGTGCTGGCCAGCACGGTCGACGGCATGGGCTTCATCAACGACGCCACCGACGTCGTCGACGCGCTCGGCTACGTGACCCGCTTCTACCGCGAGGCCTCCTCCGGGGCGGCCAAGAAGAGGCTACTGCTCTTCTCTGACGGCAACTCGCAGGGGGCCACGGCGGCGGCCATCGAGACGGCCGTGCAGGAGGCCCAGCGGGCGGGCATTGAGGTCTTCGTGGTGGTGGTGGGCAGCCAGGTGAACGAGCCGCACGTCCGCGTCCTGGTCACGGGCAAGACGGCCGAGTACGACGTGGCCTATGGCGAGCGCCACCTGTTCCGTGTGCCCAGCTACCAGGCCCTGCTGCGCGGCGTCCTCTACCAGACGGTGTCCCGGAAGGTGGCGCTGGGCTAGCCGGCGGCCCTCCCCATCGCCACGCGAGGAAAAATGTGACAGGACTCCTGGCCACCCATTAGCTAGAGTTTTTTAAAGAAGAAGCTTGAAAAGCCGCTCTGTGTTTGCCACCCCTCCGCGTCCCTCCCCCTGCACCTGAACTGCCCCCGTCCCCTCCCACTGCCAAGTTAATGTCCCCGTCCCCCCCCAGCCCCGACGCATCATTTCTCTCTCCCTTCTGGAGGGTCAGCTGCGCCCTGCCTCCCCTCCCCACTTTCCTCGTAGCTTGGTTTTTCTCGCTGATTCTACAGGATTCTCCACTTAGCCTTTCGCGTACACTCAACATCAGAGCCCAGTAGTTAATTCATGGGGGATGGTGGACAATGTGTCTCTTTTGGAAAGCCAAGGTCGAGAGGATGTTTTACACATAGACCCCGAGGAGTCGACACCTTCTTACGAGGTTCTCCTGGCTCACCCCGGACCTCAGTTCCCACAGCCCCAGGGCCGAGAGCTCAGGGCAGAGGACACGGGGACCACATCTCCAGAGAAGAGCAGAAAACAGCAACGCCTCAACCCCTTGTCCTTGCACACCCCCAGAACAAAGGTGCTATCCTGTCTGCGTCCCCGTTTACAGAGGCCTGGGCACCCGCGACATCTGGTGGCACAAAGTGATGTCTTTCATTAAAATCAAGGCAAAGCTCCTTTTCCTTGTGGGAGAGATCGGTTCTACATTTTCTTGAAGACTCTCTTTACTTGTTAGTTTTATTTTTACTCCTTCCTGTGTTTTTCTCACTGTGTCCATGTTGGCGACGTTTCCAAATAAAGGTTTTTACTCTTCTCTGTGGTCCTCTGTCCGAGGAGTTAAAATCCCGCCGTGTTCACGCTCCGCACACCGACAGGCGGAGAACTGGGGGATGGTCGAATGCCCAGTTGGAGTGCTTACCTCCCCCTCGGTGACCGTCGGGAGAGGCGCCTCGGCTGGACGCCAGCCAGTGATGCCCCTCTTCTGGCCTGGGGAAAGACCCCGGTGGCGTGAAGACCATCTGCAGATGGGGAGGTGCTGGGAGGGGCCCCGACACCCCGGGGGGCAGAATCAGAAGCAGATTGGGTTTCGGGGGGTTGGGGTAGCTGGCCAGACCCAACCGGATTAAACCCCAGGGGGCCAGCATTCTGGCACCAGAAAGAACCCTGGGAATTCTGGAGGGCGTCAGGATCCAGCAGACCCCATGGGAAGAGGCCTGGGAGATTGGGCCCTCGCGCCTTCGGAGTGAGGTGGCAGTGGCCACTCAGTCATCGGGCGGGGGGCTCTGCCTCGGAAAGGGTGGAGGCTTATGGGGTGGCAGAGCCCAGCTTGGCTCAGATTCACGGGAGCAAACACGCGGCCTTCGGGATCCTGGGTGCTCGTCTTTCCTGTCACGGGAGGAGGGGAGGATGTGGGATCGCATAAGGGAGGGCAGGAGGGAAGGACGGGACCGGACACCCAACAGCATCAGGCCCAGGAGAAGCGGCTGGCAGGGCCTCCATGCCGTCCCAGCCAGGAGGGAACCTGAGAGGGGTGAGGGACGGGATGCCCATCACTCAAATGCCTCACGAAACACGGCCATGAGAGTGAGCCATGGGAAAGCAGATGAGCAGGGCCGGGCAGGGTGCCCTGAGACCTTTCTGATTCAGGGTAGAACAGCACTCGCATGTAGAATTAGCCATGTCAGGAACAGTCTGCAGAGGGATCCAGGGAGACCCCTCGTCTCAGCCCCTGGACTGATGTCACACAGATGCGACAGGAACCACGCAGCTGCTGGTGGGTTGTTTCCATGCACTGGGCCGTCGTCCTGAAGCATGAACCCAACACGTGCCCGTCCACCACCACCCCCGCCCCCTCGAGCCCCAGCCTTCAGGCGTCCCCGACATCCTGAAGCGGCTGCCCCAGGGCCCGGCTTCTTCCCTACTGCCCGAGGCTACACGACCTTGAGCCCGTCACCTGCCCCTTCACCTCAGTTTCATCAACTGCATAATGGGTTCATAGCACCACACGCCCACCTGAGAGGCTATGGTGAGGCCTGCGGACCCTCCCCTCCCCGGGGCAGACATAGCACACTTCTCCGTTCTGGGCCAACCCAGCTCGGCCTGGACGTGCCCACCGTGGGAGGCCAGAGGGCTGGCCGGGAGGGGCAGCTTTAGGGGAGACACAGCCTGGGCCTGGAGAGGAGGGTGCCCAGCCTCCCCCGAGTCTTTGCAGGACCCTGTCCCCCTGCCCACCGTGCACAGGCTCCTCCTGGGTGACCCCAGGTCTGCACCCCGGGTCAGGTAGGCCAGGTGGCGGGTCTGGGGTTTCTCCTCACCCGCAGGTCTCCCTGCCAGCCTGGGGATGGTCACCCCGGGGACAGCTGCCTGAAGGAAAGTGAGAAATCAAAAATGTGCGTTTCCCCTTTAAGAAGGGAATCATCTCTGCGACTTCGGTGTGAATCATCTCTAACTGGAAGGGCTGGCAGAGACACGGCTGCAATCAGGCCACACTTGCTCCATTTTCCACCCCCACCTCCCCACGTTCCCCTGGGAAACATAAGCCTCCTCCTTCACTCTACGGAACTCAACTTTTTAAAAGTTTGTCATGAAGGAAACCTCAGGCCCCATCATGCCTGTGTCCCTTCCAAGTCTGTAAAAGCAACGTTTTAGGTCACTGAGTGGGGTGTGAAGCCAGTTACCGGGTTACTGTAAGTGGGTCAGTAATCCCCATCCCTTCCTGGCTGGGAACAGCCCCCGGCGCATGGCTCCGACACCTGCTCCCCTCGCCATCCCCTCCTTTCTGTGCACAGTTGAGGCTACACCCCACGGGGTCGGCGGGAGGTGCAGAACGCTGTCAAGGGGTCCTGCCACCCCCACCCCATTTGTCCCCACCCAGAATTGCCGGGGAGAACGCCCAGCCTCTCCCCAGCCCTGCCACCCCCTTAGGAGCCTCAGGCTGCAATTCCCTCCTCCTTCACAGAAGGGTGGTCTTCGAAGGGAACGGGGCCCATGGGGTCCAAGGGAGTGCTCAGGAAGTCCCCTGCCAGCCCCACCTGCTCCCCCATCAAGTCAGGCCCATGCTGATCCAGGAATCTCCCCAGGACCCCTCCACCAGCGCTGGGCCTTCCAGGGTGTACCCAGCCCACCCCTGAGATCCCGTTATTCCCACCCACCCTACAATCCTCAGAGGATTCCGGACTGTTCTGTGAAGCCAGTTTCTCCCTGTGCTGTTCACATGTCAGTGCTGCTGCTGCTGCGCCCGGCAGGTCATGGCTCCACCCGGCCAGCTCTCAGCTTCGTCAGAGGAAACGGCCTCGCTGCCCGTGGCTTCTGCTGTGAGTCCTGAGTGGACAGCGGAGGGGCTGCAACCCTTGCTTTCCTCCATTTGCATTGAGTGAAGTTTCCTCTGTTGTCTTTCAATCTGTCGAGACCCATTGTCTGAGGGGTAGGTTTTGTAAACAGTTTGTAGGGCATTTGCTCACCCTCTCTGATAGTCCTTGCTTTTTATGGAAAAATCAAACACATTCACACTTATTACAACTGATACTTGGTCTTTATAAAGCATTTTTCATGTTAAGGAGGTGCAGGAAGGGACAATTTTCCATCCATGACTTTTGAAAGCACGTGGGAAGTGTTTGGGTCATTTCAGTTCCACTGGAGGGCTGTTGGCTGCACAGTCCACTGGCCAAGACCTGCAGGGGTATCTCCTGCCCCAAGTCCCCATCTGCTGGGCTAAAGAGTTGGCCGTGGTGACACCAGGGGTGTGACTTCTGGAAAGTGGTGCCCTCCCCGAGGCAGGGTTTTAAACTCAGCAGCTCCTTGTCTTTTAGCTGCTGAGACAGTGACACTTAGAGTCCCCGAGAGCCCAGGAATCCTCCTCTCCAGTTGACACTGGACGCCTCCTCAGGGAGATACAAGGTGAACCATGCCGAGACGCAGAACATCTGATACTAGACTGACACCAACAACGGCAGGAGGAGGTGGCCCCCAGGCCTGCACGTTGCTGGCGGCCGTGTGAAATGGTACAACCTCTTTACAATCTCGTCAGCAGTTTCCTAAAATGACAACGCACATACCACACGACCCGCCACTCCACTCCTGAGCAATGGCCAAGAGCTGTGAGAAAATGAACTCTTAACGTCCAAATGGACCCAGAGGAGAATGTTCACAGCAGCCTTATCTGTAGGAGTCAAAACCTGGAAGCAAGCCGACTGCCCACCCACAGCAGGAAGGACAAGCAGGCCGTGGTGGTCCACGCCTGCAGCACTATGCGCAATAAAAAGGTGCAAACGACACGGGTGCGTTTCACGGGCATTGTGCCGAGTGAACTAGCCGAGCCAGACACCAACTAGCATGTGACACAGGATCCCGTTCGCAGGAAGCTGGCGGAAGGCAAAACTAATCAGTGGTGGTAAAAATCAGCCAGCAATGGCCTCTGTGGGTGGGGATTGGCTGGAGGGGCATCGGGAACTTTCTGGATAATGGAAATGTGGCCTGTCTTGGTGGTGTGTGGGTTACGCAGGCGTGCATTTCCTAGAATTGTACGTGTAAGCTCTGCACGTGTCTCTATACAGACACTTTACCTTTAAAAGCAGGCTGACTCGCTGCTGCTGGCTCTCCCGTCTACACTGGCTGCTAGAGCTCTGAATCCTCCTTTCCTGCTCCCTGTGGCCATGTGTCTGCCCACCTGGAGGGAAGTCCCCGTGGGCACTCCCACTTTGTGCTTCTATTAATGTAGCCACACCGCCCTTGTAGGTAGAGCACGGTATTTATTTATTCACGTTTACCCCACCCCTGGTGTACACGCCTACATGCGCCTCCTCTGAGTGTGAACAGGGTGGGATTATGTCACTTTATACGCTCAGGGATTTTGCAGAGTAAATAAGGTCCCTAGTCAGTTGACTTTGAGTTAATCAAATGGAAGATTCTCCTGGGTGGGTCAAGAGATTTCTCCTGCTGGCCTTCCTAAGAACTGCCCATGGAGGGGGCCACGCAGCAAGAACCTGGGGGTGGCCAGCAGCAGAATGG